ACCGGCACGGGTAACGGCCGCCTGCTCTAACGGACGCTAAAGGGGAGCGGGTGCGCCTGGGACGCCTTTCTCTTCGCTTTACTAAGCGACAGTGAAGGAAATAACGGTTTCTTAACTCTGCTACTGACTTCCCCAAAAGAGGCACCTGGGTGCGGCCCAGGCCCGAGTCTCGTTGCGCTATGCAGCTGCCTGCGGGAGTTGCATCTCTGCGTTTTGAGAAAACGGGAACCAAACGCTCCGGTGCGGCGCGGCCACCTCTTGGGCTGTGACGGAGAAAGGGAGGAAAACATCCCCCAGCGAGGGCAGTGACCTTAACAACCATCTCTTCGCTCCTGAGGTCCCTCCAGTAAGCGGGCCCGGCTCGGCAAGGAATGCTTTCTTTCCTTCGCCCTTCCACCAATTGCACTGTCTCCACGCTCCTTCTTCCACGTTTCCAAAAATACATTGCCAAGAACTGCCTATACCTCACAGGTAATGTCATTGACCTGCCTCAGAGATGCTGTGTTTCCTCCAACCTACTGATGATGTTCCCAGCTCAGAAAAAAAGCATCTTACTGTTTTTCCTTTCACATTTCACTCTTACAAACTCTCATGTCAGGAAAACTGACAATAATTGGGTCAAGGTACATATATCGCACAAACATTATTTACAAAATTGGGTCTGGAAGAAGAAATAAAATGAAAAGTGAGTCTGCAAATGTACTTTGTAGGCTCAGCCAGCCTGGCTTCAGCACATAACATTAAACCTTTGCAAGATCACCAACATTTATTTTCTCAAAATGCACTAAGCAGTATCAATGGCTTTTATATGAACTAATCATCTGTTCTCTAGATTTGTTTTTAAATCACTACTGGTGATGCTCTTCTTTTCCCTCTGTGAAATCCCTAGTGGTGGTGAACTGCAAAAATCCTTCTCGTCCCAAATATTACTTTAATAAGCATAAACACAGGTATATTGTCCTATTTCCTTTATCTATTTCACTTCAGACCTAAATGACTGTGTGGAAAAAAAAAAAAAGGTTAGTAGAGGTTAGTTGTAGAGGGAGGTCATTTCAGAGGACTGGACTATCCATTTAACCACTACTCCAAAGTAAAGGACTTTTTCATAGATAGCTTTCTTCTTTTTCAACCTATTTTTTGCAACATCTTTTAAAAGCTACTATCAGCTGTCCAAGGTTTTGTCAGGGGTACTTATTAGCATTAGCAGCAGTGTCATGGTTGAACATTCACCTGTATTGTTGCAGTTTGCCTGCCAGAGTCTTCTGTTCTTGTTATATAGCATTTGTCAGTTCCTCATCAAGCCTGCCGTGCAGTGTTGCAAACCTTTAGATGTGATACCAAATCAGTCATATTATTTTATATGCTTTATGCATCATTTGAACCTCAACTGTGAGGAACGCTTTTTTTTCAGAATTATGCACTGCAGAATCCAACACCGAACTTATTCAAGAGGCTGAGTGCTATTGTGTTCTACCATACTGTAAGCCTCAGAACAGCTTTGTTACGCTGTGCTGTATGTAACATTGTTATTCTACAGTAACCAGTACCTCCGGCACCCTGTATTAAGCCACTAGCAGCAATTGTGCAAGTCACAATGAACTCTAAGGTAAATATTTTGAGCTAATTCTTGTAATAGGTGTGAGAAGGGTCAATAGGTGACCTCCGAATACTGCTACAGACCAAATAACCAAAAGTGGAAGAGCCAGGACAACGCTTTGGAATTACTGAAATGTTTTATTAGGCACATGTGTTTGCTGATTACTCTGCAAGAAAATAAATTTATAATCTTACTGTGTGTATTTTTTCTCCTTTGCTCTGGGGCAGTTTCATTCTTTGAACAGGGTTGATTTATCAAAAGCATTTGGAAAGTATGAAGGAGAGTAGGCTGGCCATACAGGCCATTTTCGTTAGGGCAAGAAAATCCTGAGTTTTCTTTCCTGTCTTACCTTTTTAAGAAGTATTTTGGCAGCATGCTATGTGATGGAGTTGGGAGCTATGATGGATTTAGGACTGCTCTATAATACCTTTCAATATCTTATGTTCTCTATATTTGATCATTGTGAAAGATATGTATTGTGTTGATATGTTGTTTCAGTGTAATAGCAGATTTAAATAAACAAAAGGAGGAAACAAAGCCTGAGGAGAAAGTATAACTCACCAAATATTTCTAAGGTTGCCAAAAGGGGATTTAAAGTCTAGACAAAGCTAACTGTGGGCATTAGATCCAAATATATTAGCTGAAACAAGAAGAAGCTTCTAAGGGTTATCTATCCTTAAATGTGACTTAAGTTAGAGGAGTGAGTGGAAGGGAGGAAAACACCCTTCTCTGCCAGAGGTTAGAGAGCCTGGGAATGAATGGACTTATTGGATTAGTGGCTGTACAAGGGCAGGATAAACCTAATTATGCATCTTCTGAAGATGCTGTTTACTTCTAATATACTTTGCTCCAATTATCATTCAGCAATACTTTAAGAAAGCTATTTGGAGACACTGTATTTATCGCTGGTCACAACTCCTAGTGTTGTGCTCAGTTCAGTCTGTTGAGCAAGCACAGCTGATATGCAGGATGCTGCAGGGCTGACATAAAAGCCGAGTGCCAGGGCCATGAGTGTACCCGCTCCTTGCCCTGACCAGCCCTATCTGGGACCCCCACCTGACCTGTGGCACCCACTCCTGCACTGAGTGATGTTGCAGGAGGGCCTGTGGACCTGTGCCCATGACTTGGTGACTGGCTTGATTTGGGGCCTGACTCGTCACTTTGCTTTTGTGTGCTGGCAGAACCATGATTGTCCTCAACCCTGGCTCTCCTTGCCTTGCTCAGATGCTGTGGGACTGCACCCTGTGGTGGGGTGTCATCCTCCCTGGCTCTAGCATCCTCTTCCCCCATGGAGCAGCCCCACTCCTGCTGCTCCCTGGCACTGAGAGACTCTGATGTGCCTGAGTCCTTTTCACCTCCCACTGGAGCTGGAGCTGCGGAGAGGGGGATGCAGACTTCAGAAAATCCTAGATGTAAACTTCTGAAATGGAAGTACAAAATGAAGGTACACACCAGGCTGGCTTGAGATTGCAGGAAAAGAGATGAAATGAAGGGGAGTGATTAAGTTAAAAACAGAACAGAGGCACAGAGAGGAGTGAGTGTAGGTGTAGAAGATGGTTAGTGTGTACTTTGGGACATAACTGTGGAAATGCCCAGTGCACGAGGACATTTCTGCTTGTGAAAAGTATATGCAGAAGCAGATGGGATCAGGCAGTGATGACCAGAGTTTCATATGCTTTTTAAATTAAAAGAATTTTAAAATTCTAATGGGTTCAGGGGGTGGGAGGGAAGCATTAAACAGAAACAGTAGCAGGGAGGGGTTTACATATAAATGTATATAAATACAGCTAAGGGATTCAGATGTGGGTGAATGTGTAGAAAAAGAGAGAGAGCTGAGATCTGCTGTGTACTTAAAATTACTGGAATCACCACATTAAAACAATTAAGTGATTGTCTGCTTTGGCTGTTAGCATTCCCATGCCTCTTCCCTTACTGGCCAGTCCACACACCAGCTCTTTGTGACCAACATCCACAGTACTGGAGAATCTATGAAGACGGCTGTACTTACACAAGATGGAGGTACCTGCAATTGGCAGCGGGCCTCGGGAACCAAGGCACTCAAACTGGCTTGCACAGGTGAGGGGAAGAAGATAAAGAAATGCTGGGTGTAAGAGCAGATAGAGAGGTTTCACGGAACTAAACGTATCTAAAAAACATCTCTTTTTAAAGTTTGTCTTCCAACATAGCACAGAATGTTTGTGGTTTTTTCAGAGGATTATCTTACTACAGATGTTTTTAATAAGTTAAAAAGGGGACTCACGGCCTAGGGTCATAGAGCAGAAAGAGTTAGTGACCTTCATGTTTGTTTATTGCACAGATGGGTGCAACCTGATGCTATTGGTGTGCTTCAGTTTCTCAGGTGCCTTTACGGCAAATTGACTTGTCTTAAAGCTCCTAGGAACCAGCAGAGCCAAACACCATTTATTTCACAGGTGCCTGGTAACCATCCAAGCTACCCCAGATTTCATTTTGGATGGCCCATGCTTGTGTTCTTCTCTCTCTCTGAACAGTCATGCCAAGAATATAGCCAATAGGCAGCCAGTGGCACAACTGGTTTGAAAGCTTTTGCGCAATTCTGCATGTTCCTAGCAAACAAAGGTGGGCTTTTTCTCTGTGCTCTGTGACAGGCTTCATTCTAATTTGAGCTGGTCCTGGTAAGAAGAGTCAGTTTGTATGTAAATGTTTTCTCTTGTGTTTTGGTCTCCCAATGGGTAAGTATCCCTGGAATGCTTTTAAGTATAGGCCAACTCATTTATTGCCAGCAGCCTCTCTATGTGGGAGTAATGCAGTTTGCTTGCATCTGACAACAGAAGATGTCTTTTGCATTTAAAACTATTAAGTATTTTTGTGTGTTTTTACAATGTCTGCTTATTCTCTGTGCTTGCTGGCCTTTGGGAATTCCTTTAACTCCATGACTTCCTTCCTTCTCTCCTGGCCCCCTAGATACCAGAGGAAAGACCTCTATGTATGGTGGGACAGGCTGGGAATCTCGCATGGAACATAGAGTAGCCCCCAAATCATGCTTGGGAGAAAATGGATAGAGAATACAGAATGAAGCAGGGGATCAGTCTCCACGATTAGAAGAACCAGATGGAAGAGGTCTGGGAAGTCTGTGGATGGGAGCTGGTGTGTATATGGGACAACTGCCAGATTTGCTCTAGATAAGGTCCTAGCTGGAAAAGCAGATTCCCACCTCCGCCTTATTCCCTTCACTGCGACTAACAATCATGAGATGAAGCATGTGTGTGGTGAGCAGTTGGAAGAGGCTTATCTCTCCCAGGATGGATTCTCTCACAGAAGATATTATCTGTATCTTCCATACAGGCTGCATGTGTCCTTTGATGTTGAATTTAGCTGCTCTTAGTCTTCTGCAGAAAGATGTAGTCCCATTACTAGGCGCACAGCTGTTTTCAGAAGCCGCTGTGACAGGATGGCGACCTCCAGAAACATGGTTACACTTTAATACATCCACGGGTTGCTGAGACGTATCTCTTACCGCCTGTGACGTTGGAACCATGATTCCCCAAACAAGGTGGCTGACCAGCCCTGCTGAGACCATTGTGCTGCTTGCTCTCCTTAGCGGCAAATTTACCACTAAGCGGTAGACTCTTTTAGTGGCAAAAAGAGTTTGTGATTGAACTCTTGGAATCCATTATCTGCCTTGTGGCAGGTAACAGGGCTGTACATGTGCAGCTGGGGTAAGGCCAAAGAGAGTATTATAGGGCCAAGAGACTTTTGGGATCTCAAAGGACATACCTACTGCAGGGAGCATCCTAAGCCTGAGATCATTTGGATACATCTGAGGAAGCTGCAGTTGCCCTGAAGATCATAGCTGGACTTGTACCAAGGAAGACATCTGCATTACAGCAGCCCTCAGGAATGTCTTTAAGGAACAATACAATCTTTGAATTTATATCTGTCGGAGGATATGTTGTTCTCACTCTCCTTCACTGAAAGGATATAAGCTGCGTTATTTTTATCTGGCCATGACAGCATATTAAGTGCATAGCTTTCTAGCTGTTAATGAACCCCTATATACAATATTTAATTTGATGATAATTTTCCACATCAGCACATTATATCATCTGTATTCTAGGATTTTGCTCATCAGTAATCCTAAAGATAATATACCACTCCCTCTTACAATCTCTTTGGTAAGAGGACCCCTTTACCTTATTGCTCAGATAACTTATGCAAGTGTAGTTTAGACATTTGCTATTTCGGATTTTACAAGCTACCCTGGCCCTCCTTTCACACCAGTATCAAGTGGAGAAGCTCATCTTTTATGCTTAAAATGCCTTGCATTTGCCTTCCCAGATTGCTGCAAATCTCTATTACAGCTCTACCAAGCTGTTTCAGCTGAAACACTCACCCTCGATACCAGCTACATGTGCTTGGAGCACTGCAATTGGTTTGGCTACTGTGAGTCACTGGGGAAACCTTAACTCATTTCTTATTTTTCAGGAGAGTTCTAGAGTTTGGCTGAAGATCTTACCCAAGACATGAAGTTATCACAGTTATAGCTGTAACTGTGCAGTAATTGTACTGAATACAGAAAGTGATTCCAAAAGAGAATTTTCTTGAGAAGGGGAAAACATTCTTCAGAAGATAAACTGAATGAACACTGAAAGCCTGGGGGCTCACTATGACAGTATCAATGGATTTTTCTTGTACAGTAAGTCAGGAAAGAAGTCGACTGGAAATCTCCCTAAAAAGCACAGGACAAGTCTAAGTATGCACATAGGTAGCTTGAAATACTACTTTTCTCTAATGTTTCATACTACATATTATTGACATGGCCAGAGTTTTTATAGTTACACATCACTATTCTCATGTTTCAAGAGGGTAGACTGGAAACTGTTGTCTGGTAATAGGTAGATGATGCAACTATAGTGTTGCACCTGGTTCAGAGCACGGCAAAATTGCAGTCTCCGGTGTGTGACTGCCTGAGAAAGTTCACTCACAGAGACCAGAAAGGGGCATAAATGTGAGAGTTCCAGCATTGACAGTAGTCTCTGCAATTGTCTGTAAAAGCGGATTTTTCCCCTTTCCCTTAAGACCAATAAAATCACATTTAAATAATTAGCTAAAATAAAAACTAGAGGCAAAATTAAGAATAAAAG